GCTGGGGAATTCTGGGAGTTGAAGTCCTCCAGGCTTAAAGTGGCCAAGGTTGGACACCCCTGGCCTAGAAGATTCATTTCCAGCATTTACCTGCTGGGGATGCTCCCCCAAAGCGACACCAGTCAGACATTTGCTGCAGCTGGACATCCTGGATCTATCGAAGCAAAACCGGACTAGCTCCTTTATACGAAACTGCTTTATTTATTTCGTTTAGATCCTGCCTTTATTTTTTATTTATTTTTTTTACAAATAATTCAAGCTGCCTAGAGCAGACCCAGAGCAAGATAGGGGGGCAAATAAATTGAACAAGCCAATAAAGTGTCGCGCATATCTAAGACGCCTTTCTCCTCTTATTTACCCCACAACAACAACCCTGTGAGGTGGGGCTGGGCTGAAAGAGAGAGACGGATTGGTCCATGAAGGTCTTTGAACAGAATGAGCCTCTACCTTCAAGAGCAGTATACCGGTAAATTAGGCAGCCGACGCCTCCCCCACCCCCCACCCCCAATCACTTCTTTCCCAAGAAACGGGGCCTTTCCATCCAAGGACAAGCACCGAGTAGCCTCGCCGATCCCGGCCGGAGAGGAGCCTCCATGGAGACAGGCAGTCTACCTCCAACGCCCGGCCGCGCGGGCCCTAACCGCCCCTGACAGAAACGGAGCGCGCATGCGCAGGAGAAAGCGGGCGGTTGGAACGTCGCCCGTTGCCTTTCCCCGCGTCCCCGCCCGCTTCGCCAAACCTTTCCCCCGCTCCCTTTCTTACGACGAAAACGGCCTCGGGGATGCCCAGGTGACCCCTCTTGCCGACGTCGCCGGTGCCGCTCGCCGGGCCGTCGCCACAAACCGCCTCGCCGCCGGTGGCCGCCGCCATCTTGGGGAGGGAAGGCGACCGCGGCTGGCGCGCGCCGTCACGCCCGCGCCCGCATGCGCGGTTGGAGGCAAAGGCGTGCAAGGGGAGGGGGGGGGCGTTACCAGGTGTCACAATCGAGGCGGGTCCCCTGACGCTCCTATTGGCTGAAGGAGGCGCGCGCTTGCCCGGCGCCCGGGGATTTGCTCGGGGAGTGGTCGCTGGCCGGAGGGGGCATCCCCGACTGGGATTAGGCTCCTTCGCTGGAGCGGTGGCTCCTTGGAACAAGCCGGAATGGACCGGTTAATGGGAAAAGTCGTTGCAGAGCTGGGCTAAGGCTGAAATGCATCGGAGGGACAAGAGCAGGTTGCAATGCATCCATCCATCCCTTCGTTGCAATCTCAGTTCAAATGCAAACGCTGAGCTGCTGCACCGGAGACAGAATTCCTTGCACGTCCAGTCTCGCTTGGCCAATAAAAGAATACTCTCTCCTCCTCTCTTCCAGATACGTAACTGCAAAAATGGACCTTTTAGCGTTTTCCACATTCTTTCTTGTGTTGGGGCGATGCGGGGTGACCTGACATCCTCATTGCATCCTCCTATGCACTGCCCTTCAAATATGCGTTTGCTCGGTGTGGGGTGTGAGTCGTTTTTTTCTCTGGACACGAAAGGGCATCTATCCATAAGAATTTTTGGACGTTTTAAAAACGCCAATGGCACTAAGAAAGGTGCGAAGAAGCTATGAACTCCACTTCCCTGCAGAGCCCGAGTTTGTAGGCAGCCCTTCATTCATTTATGCCTGCTGCAATCCAGGGACTTTCGTAGTCCAAACAAGCACAGGGCTCAAAATTTTGCAAAAACAAATTGCAAACACTTTGTGGTGAGGGGCAGAAAAACACAGGGAATCCCAAACATATTAACCCTTGCACCCTCCCCCCCAAAAAACTTCCAAGGAAAAAAATTCGTTCTGCTGCCCAAAGGCATATTGACCTCAGTTTGCACCATCCCATGTCAACCCAGTGTTGGTTCCCAAATCACTAAATGTGCCTATTTAAACACACACACGCACACCCTAGGCCAAAGGGATATTTTTTTAAAAAAATACCTTGTTTACTTCTTTTGGAACCCTTGCTTCCCCTATTCTCCTTGTATATTTATGAGACCGTTTCCCATTCTCTAATTTTGAAGACCCGGCTCTTTGGAAAAGGCTTCTAATGCTGGGAAAGGAGGAAGAAAAGATGATGACAGCAACAAGGTGGAGGGACTCGGCTGCAGCATTGAGGGAAGGGACTGACTGACTTGGAAGGGTCGACCTATTTTCTAAAGCACCTGAACGCAGAGCAAGAAGTCATGCATGGAAACTGAACAGAGAAAAGCAACCTAAAACCAAGGGGAAACTTCTGATAGTGAGAACGATCAGCCAGTGGAACAGCTTGCCTCCAAGAATTTATTTATTTAATTTATTTATTTATTTGATTTGCCAATTGTTTACAAGATAATAAGTATAAGTGTATACATAGTTGTGAATACATGAAATGGGTACATATAAGAAAAATAAAAGAATAAGAGAAACAATAGGACAAGGACGGTAGGCACGTTGGTGCGCTTATGCACGCCCCCTACAGACCTCTTAGGAAAGGGGTGAGGTCAATAGTAGACAGTCTAAGGTTAAAGTTTTGGGGGTTTGGGGAAGAAACCACAGAGTCGGGTAAAATATTCCAGACATTGACCACTCTGTTGCTGAAGTCGTATTTCCTGCAATCAAGTTTGGTGCGGTTAACCTTGAGTTTGTATCTATTGTGTGCTCTTGTGTTGTTATGGTTGAAGCTGAAGTATTCATTGACAGGTAGGACATTGCAGTGTATGATTTTATATACCATGCTTAAGTCAGACCGAAGACGGCGTAATTCAAGGTTTTCTAGTTCTAGAATTTCAAGTCTGGTGGCATAAAACGGGTAGAGGAGTGGAGAACTCTTCTTGTGAAATATTTCATATATGGTTCTTCCACATTGGAGGCTTTTAAGAAGAGACTAGACAATCATTTGTCTAAAATGGTATAGGTTCTCCCGCTTGAGCAGAGGGGTGGGTTAGAAGACCTCCAAGGTCCCTTCCAACTCTATTCTGTATTCAGATTAGGGACAGATCATTGTGGAGAAAATTGCTAGGACTTGAAAATGACTTGATAAACAGATCAATTTTAGAATTAAAGGACGCGGATACCAATGCAGCAGTGATGGGAAGCAGAATCTGCTTTGCTTTCCAGGCCCTTTGAAGTAATCTTAATGAGGCATCATCTAGAATGGTTGGACTACAACTCCCATCACATATAAGATGAAATATGAGACAAACTGCAGGCCATCTAATTTAGCAAAGACTGATGCTAGAATTGCTCAAAGATTACTTTCTGAAAATTAGTTCAAGCCCATTAGTTCTTCTTTCCTGACACCTTTGAAGGATTATTAGGCACAATCTCTTCCGCTAAAGGTTTACAATATATTAGATTAACATGATTGAATCATCTAAGGAAAGGCATTTTTTTATTTTTTGAAAAAGCTTTCCTCTTCAACAGCACTGTAGGGACTCGGCAACTGACTAGCTAATGTTTCAGTTGTGCAAAATTAAAAATTATCAAATTGAATACAAAACAGAGCCAAAATACTTTGTGCCAAAGTTTATTTTCCAAAACCTGTTTCTTTAACAAAATGGAGTCTATACAATAGTCTCAACCACTTCTTTGTTTTATATGCTGTCAAGCCAGTTAGCGCCAGAATCTTTGAAGTGTTAACATGGCAAACAAAATATTTCAGAAAAATATTTGGGGGTGGGGTGGTGCTTAAACTGAAAGTTTGTGATGGCTAGATGTGTCCTCCAACACTTTTGCAATCTAACATGAGCTGGACAAAATAAATACTTTGAGAAGTACAAACAGAAAATCACAATATACTTAATTATATTTCAAATGTTGAACAAAAATGTCAACTTAGAAAAACATTTCAAATATGAAAAAATACAAACACTTTTGCAGAAATTCATTAAGCATTTTCAAAATAAAGGTTACATTCCTTCAATAGTGCCTTACTGACACAAAAAAACATCTTGGAATTTTAATTGTACTTGGATTTTAGGCTTACAATTACTTCAAATAAGATCTACATACAAGTATCGATCCTGGTAAATAGCAATTTACAACTAAATGGTTCAAGTTGCTTTCACTAGAACTACTGTATGAAGTTCATAATTTCAGTTAATGAATGAAAGAAATTGGTGTGAATAACCGTACATTTCTATCATATTCTAGTTGAACATTTTGTTATTTGGCTAGAGATACTCAGACAACATACAATAACTTTATCATCCGTTACCCAAGTAATATTGCAACTACTGCTGGCCTTTTGAATTCTAAAAAATATGCATTTTGGAGAACCAAAACAAAAATCTTATGTAAGGTTTTCCACTTACTGCCTTTATACTCAACAGTTGGGTATTTTTTCTGAATATCATTGGCTTCCTATAGGAAAGAGCTGTAGGGTAGCAAGGAGACCTCAAATTGCAGGCTTTACTTACAAAGTATCTTTACCTGTATTTCCAGGTTTGTCACAACCAAAGTAATTGTATTGGTGGTACAGATACATACTTTGTAAAACAATGGCTCACAGGTTAGCTAGAATTACAAGATGGACAATTTGCCACAATTTACCCTGCTTCCACCAATATTGGATGTGTGTCATTGGCTCACCAAGTTCACGGACAGAAATGACAGGCAACGTTCTCTCCTTGGCTGTGCCAATCTACTTTTGCAGGGAGTTTGTCTGGCACCGAGACAAGCACAGAAGGGGTTTTCCACCAGCTGTAGCTGTGAGATTGATTTAGCTCACTTTTCCTGGCTCTTTAACAAAAAAAGGCCCCACAAACTATAGACACCATGAGAAATATGAGTTGCATTTTATGTGCTTCTTAAAAAGGGGGGGGGAGGGGGTGTTTAGGGGCAGAGCTGCAACCCTTTCCTAAATACTGCTATTTATACAGGGAACTCTGATGCTTTTGGCAAACTTGGGGGTTTCACAACAGAATCAGTACCTAGCCAATCTTAGCTGAACTAAAAAAAACAAAAAACCTTAGGATCAGTATTTGGATGTACCAACTAGAAATTAGAATTAAAATCAGCCAGGCTGTAGATAGGAAGTTACACATACAACACATCCAAATTAGGCAGCCACAAAACACTTCCACAAAGCTATCACAAAATGTCCACTTAATCTTCAGGAGCTAAGAATGACTCAAGGGGTCTTCATCTTTTGGCACAGATTTTTTCCCCCTTTTGAGAAGGTTTTCTGTGGGGCATGTCTTACCCTCCTCACTGCATATCAGTATTTTGATCCACACCCTGTTCTACCTGACAACTGTTTAAAAATGAAAGTAGGAAATGTGTCCTTGATTATTTCCCTTTGCCCTTCCAACTCTGCTAATTAACCATCTGGACCAGTGTTTCTCAACCATGGCAAACTTTAAGATGTCTATAGACTGCAACCCCCAGAACTCCCCAGGCAGTTGTCTGACTGGAAAATTCTGGGAGCTGAAGTCCACACAAGTTACTAGTGGTTGAGAAACATTTATTCTAGATAGAGAGGCTCAAACAGAAGTCCACTGCCAGACACACGCCAAACCCCAAACCTGTCCCTGCCTTCCCATGTGAACATAGTGCTCAACAGCAGCCCCCAGCTCTGTATGAGTAGCAGTAAAGGATGCTGGGAAGTAGCATCATCTTGGAAGACTATTCAAAAGCTCCTCACTGCAAGCTTGCCGATGGGCATGTGCTCCACTAATTCAGCCTGGTGAGTTAGATCAAGACTAAACTACTTTCATTGCACTCTTACCTGTTTGAATGGGAATCACACTGCCATCTTTCTCTGCAGGATTCAAATGTCATTACTATAATCTGAGTCCAATTCTACACGTGGCCTAAAATCTGCTTTAAAGCTTAGCTAAACTGGAAGAAACACTTGTGGCGGGGGGGGGGGGGGGAGAGATCAGAGTGACAAAATTCCTGCACTGGATCAGGAATTCTGGGAGTTGAAGTCCACAGGTCATAAAGGGGCCATAGTTGCCCACCCCTGCTCTAAACCCTACAACCATTGGATACACAAATACATCCAAAGATTTATCAGTTTTGGAGAATACTACAGAAACATCTGTGAAAGGCTGGGACAAAGGGAGAAGAGAGGCTGCACCAGTTATTACAAATTTAAAATGAGTGTCAGACACCCTTAGAGAAAATTGAATGACACAATACATTTTTCAATCTGTACCTGACCATCAAGAAGTCAGAGTACACCAGAATCAGATGCAACCTTTCTATTTCTAAACATTTTCTAGAAACTGCAGTGAAAACATGTAGTTTCTCTAACTCAAAAATATAATCTTTAGAATGGAAATAAGCAAGCAGTACACAAAGCATTTCAGCATTATCCACAAAATGTAGACTACTTGAGGAAAAAAGGATTCCCTTTCATTACAAATAAAAGCACTGATCCACAGTGCGTTCTACTTAAAAGCTGATATCCCAACAAATTCTCAAACCACACCTGAAAAAAAGAGCAAAACAAACCAAAAAAGCAAAACAAAATCAGATTCTGTACACCCTGTATTCAATTTTAAAGATAATATTTCAACACACACACCCTCAAATAGTCTTGCCTTAAAAAATGGTACTTATCCTTACTATATACAGAGGACTAAAAATATTTATTGTTCTTTGTAAAATGTATTATTTAGAAAGAGGAACCTTCAATTCGGAACAGACTTTTTCAAGTATGACAAAATCCAGCTTTCCCATTTAGGGCCAGCAATGGGATGAGAAGGAGAGTCTGACTGGGATGCCAACATGCCATAGGCCAATCAGGAGACACAGACAGGGCTTTGCTCCAAAATGTTAGTACTGGGCAAATGTCAGTATTGAAACCAGCTGCAAGGATGTTTCTCTACACCAAGTTGATTTCTAGCATCAAAGAACAACTGTTGGGGAAGTGGGCAAAGGTATTTAGAAGATGGCCCAGGGAGACGGGAGGGAAGGCCACTTCATTTCTGGATGCCATTTTAAGGTTGACTATAAGACCATATACATGCCCACCATCCTATGAGAGGTGTTGCCACTGTGCATGGTACACACTAGGGTGCTCAGCAGCATTTTCTAGAATCTCACTCAACTTCCTAAAAGCCAGGCAGCAGCCCAACTGTCCCCAGCTCTGCCTAACAGCTTAACATGGAGCTGCGGCTGTGGAAAGGTTCCAAACAAGCATCTGGCCATCTTCAGATCCATCCTGCTTCTCTTGGAAAAAATCAAAACCCAAATGTTTTGTTAGTATTGTAAGGGGGAAACAAGAAATGACGTTGACATACAAAACCTTATTAATGTGTGTGTGTGCAATACACAGACCTCCTTTTCTTTTGATAAACATCATCTCTGAATATCTGCAGTTCGTTTTGTTCTGCTATCTTAATTTTGGCAAATCATAAAAGCAGTATTGACAGCTAAACCCAGGACGTCCCAATTTCAGATTGAGATTACTTGCAAACAAGTCCTGCTGGACTTAACTGGGCTGATTTCCCAGTAAATAATAATAGGTGGCAGAAAACAGGCACATTCATCTTAATTTGGGTTGGTTTTTCTTTTTTCTTTAAATAGAAACTTTAAATTCATCACTGATCTAAAAAGAACATTGTAATGGGAAGCATCCTCTCTTATAGCAAACATTTGAGAAGTAGAAACATTTGCAGTAAAAATGTTAATGGGTGAAATATTACATTCATTACATTACTGTTCTTTAGAATCACCAGTATATTTACAAGTACGTGTTCAAATACTGGATAGGCAAATGCCAATTTTGAACATGATTTTTCTCCTTAAATTTATTATTATTTTTATATACTTCATTACTGTGGAGCACACAGGAACACAAAGATGGAACTTCCTGGTCCCTCTTTAAAGCAGCGGCGTCTTTTCCTGAGGCCTGAGCAAGAGCCACCACACAATCCTGCAAACTCAAGTGCTCTACCGAGTTGCAGCCAGGGGTTGCATTTGTGCACCGAAGCACCTACTGGGATTTATTCCTGAAGGCCTGTACAGCCCTAATGATAACCTAAGGCATATGAAATCAGGTGTGTTACAGTTCATGTGCTGAAGTCTCAGACTGGAGTGTTCCTGGATTTAGCTGGGATACAGTTGATTGATAACATTCTGGGAAGTTCACCTTGATCTATAAATAAATATATAAAATCGGGGAGAGGGGACTGTTTTAAGTATGCACAACATATACACTTACTGTCCAACGTGTCAAGACCATTTAACTATAACAACACTAAAATCACTGTAAACAACCTTTAGCCAACTGGAAGTTGAAAATGGTACAGTTGCCTGTACAATGGTAATTTCTGGCATGAAGACAGAAAATTCCAACTGTGGCAGGTGCAAAAACACTTGCAATAAAATTAACATAGACCACTTACTCAGGTCTGTTTTTTTTTTTAAAAAAAGATCTTGCAATCTTGCAGCAAGAAATCGTAATGCTGCACCCACCATCAGGAAGACAGGAAGATTCCAATTTTTCTATGCAGAAACTGTTCTATAAACACAATTCCTGTCCTGCAGAGTCAGCTCTTCAGTGCAGTCGTAAGTACTACCACCCAGGCCCTGGTGCCCTGATGCCAATTTTATCACTCTCCTCTCTTATGCCAGTTTATTGGGAGGGACCAATTTTGGGACACAGTGGCTGGTCAGGAGATAACAGACAACTTTCACCTTGTCTAATTAAAGGTCTGGTAACTAAGCAATATTATTTAAACATCACCCAGAGAACTACATACTAGAGATTACTTCCAATTTCAAAGCTAATATTTACAGCTGATACACAGCTAGGGACAGCTGAGGTTCGGAAACCACTGCTTGACAGAATAAAAGCAAAACTGCTTACTGTCTAAAATCAGCTAAAATATAATCACATCCAGGATTTGGATATGATAAAAATAGAAGCCTCAAATTAAACCTGTTAAAGATGGGATGAAATCCTGATAGAAATCACACAGTTCAAAGGCGTAAAAGCACATCATCATGTTGTCAACTGCAGCTCACGGACGGTGTTATTCACAGGGTCAAGTGGACACCATGTTTATTTAGAAAATCACTGTGGAGAGGTGTAAGGAGAATACAATCTGAGAAAGAGGTTGTTACTGGTTGTGTGTGAACTGGTTAAAGGTTTTGCAGGCACAGGAGGTTGTGCATGTTCAGAACATGCTGAGCTGCAAGTACCTTAAGCTACAGAGAAATTAAAGTCTATTTTTATGAACTGTGCTGGACATGAAATAGAAGGAAGAATTTGTAAATATCAGAAATTTTATACATCAATATGTTGCAATGGGAACATTGTGGTTATTATTTTGAGTTACTATAATTACAATAAAATCAGTAAGTACACATATTATATCAAGCAATAACATAACATACTTTCATCTGGAGAGTTGTCTCTCTTTCTCTCTCTGTGATGAGATGGATATTGCAAGATGTTCCTTGCTGTAAAATTGCAGCCAGTAAATGTAATAAATTAAACATCATTAAAATTCCATGATTAGACAATAATCTCTGGGAGTTAAAAAGCTTGCTGTTTATATTATGGTTTACATGATCACAATGTCTGTGATAAAATATTTCTAATTATAAAACCTATATTATTTAAAACACATGTACTGGTCTAAACTGGATTGAAAGAGTGAAAATCAATGGGAAGGCGAGTTTATACAATCTTATATGAGGATTAGTTAAATTAATGCATGAAAATATCAGTTCAAACAAATCCCACAAATAAATTGCTCCAGCTTATACAGGGTCAAAATAAATACTGGTTTGGGGCAAATCTGGAGAATACAGTAAAGTCAAAAGCCCTTGAAAATTCACTTTCCACATTTAATTACATGCATCCAGTTTACGTCTTTGTCAGTACATGTCGAAGATTTGGTCTAAAACATTTTTTTCCACTTGCACATTTAATCCATACAAAGTTAGTGGTTACAAATTGCAAACACATATGTAAAAATGATTCTTTCCCTTAAAAAATCATGTTTAGCTTGACAAAACAAGTATATCCTTTTTGAAGCAGGCTTTTTTTTTTTTTTACATTCTTGGCACAATAATAACAAACACAAAAGACACATATAGAGAAAAAAATGGTTTTCTGAATTTGACATTCTGATCTGCAAAAATGTTTTTTTTTCCTTTGTAGTTGCTGTTAAATCCCTTTTTCCTAGGAACAAAACCCATAATTTGGCAAATGCTTGAAAGAGCAAGATCAATTGCCTTATCTTAAGAATATGTGGCCAAGTTAGGGGAAATTCTATGAAAGAAAAACCACACTAAGCATTATTTGATATCCTCTGTCCTGTTATTGCTGGGGTAACGGGCCTAACACCAGAAGGCTGGCAGTGATAAAGGAGGAAACTCTTCTATTCATTAAAACTCTTCTTTGATTTTAAAAAGGGATTTTAAATCCTTTTTTTTTTTTTTTGCAATTCCCCCTGAAAAATACATGCTGAACCAGCTGGGTCAATTCTCATGGTACTGTTTAATCTATCATTATTGTTATTGTTATCATCACCACCACCACCGCCAGTTTTGGAGGAGAGTTGAAAATTATGGACCATCAAGCTGTATCATCACATTACATACGATCTCCTAAACTGCAGTAACATCTCACATATTTTAGGAACAATAATTTGAGCTTTTCAATACCAAAGAAATTTGGAGCTGTATATCTTTTAAGCAGTAAATATTCATATTTTGAATGTTACAAAGATAAACAACAACAAAAAATTCCTGCTATTCTGGAGAAATTCTGTCCCTTAAAGGTTTACACATTATTTACAATTCTTTCTTCTAAAAAACGTTACCTTATGGGCATCTTTTCCTTGTCTCCCTTGTTGACAAAAACTAGGCTATGCCATGGATGGACCGTTCAGAAATCCACCTTTCCAGTTCTTAAAGTGCACCACAGAACATGATGAAACACAATGATTTATATGTGATGCCCCTCTCAGGACAAGCAACCTCTCAGATTTACAACTTCTGGCTGACCATTTACTGGTTTTTTGTTTAGCCAGGATAGAAGTCAACTCTCACCAGAGTCAGAAACATTGCTACTCGTATAAAGTATTGCAGCTGTTGCCATTCACACCAGAACCCCACACACTGCTCAGTAATATGCTGTTCCAGCACCCCCGGGCCCAAGTGTAACCCTACAGATGGGCCAAACAATCCCTCTGCTTGAATGCCAATTAATTCGTTTTCCATTAATGGCCAATTCAATGAATGCTAATGGCCCGTTTAATTAAAGTTGATTCACAGCATTTGAAAGTTCACAGTATAATATCTATGAATCAGAAGAAGCCAGCCTAATATGAGGAAAAACAGTTGGTTTCCCAAGATAACCAGCTTTTCTCATAATACAGGATTTACTCCTGTCCGAGGATTGACTGTTTTGGGTCGTCCTTCAGAGGATCTAAAATGTTTATTGCTCAACTTTGCTCTATAGTGCCCATGATTACATCAGCCACCAAGTTTCAAGGAGAAAATAAATAGACGTTTGAGGCTGTCCACTTGCTTATTACAGGCTCAAAATTTAAAAAAAACAAATCCTCCCAAGGATTCCTAAGTAAGCTTGTCTTTAAAAGCAACAAAAAGTTTTTGAACCTGGATGACCTTTAGTTTCAAAATACTTAAAACTTCTTGTGGAAAACAGTCTTAACCCCATCCAAACCCACACATGATTTTAGACCATAGAGACTGTTATAAAAAGAATCTCTAAAGCACAGCAATTAAAAGTAATTTTATAGTATACGCGGAGCAAGTATGAGCTCTGGCAAAGGCTGCAGTCTAAAAGTTTCATCTTCTCTGTACCAATTTGGTTGTCAAAGAGTCTCGTTGTTTTGGCAGATCTACATAAATTGAATCTGTAACAGAAGAAATAAAGCCAAATTAAAGCTGTTAACAAATATATTCAACTTATATGGGAGTCTCAGAAAAATCAGAAAATTGGGTTAAATCAGAGTTGCAAAACATTGTTTTTCCCTTGCAATAGTTTTTAGCACCATCAGATAATGATAGACTCACTGATGAAAAAGGACATAGCAATTTTTAAAAATTTAAATATCACTTTCGTAAGTCTGTTTGGTTTGTTCTGAAAACCTCTCCTAACCAAAGGGAGGTAGAGATGAAGGAAGTATTCACCTGACAAAGGTGTTTTTCAAAAAGCAATTAGACTTATTTGCCAAACTAGACATTCACTTGCCAAATCCTGAAAAACAATTCTGAAGGCCAACTTCAAGTTCTATCACAATCCACTGCCACTTTCTGTTTTTTACATTCTCTTGCAATTCTGCTCTTATTACTGATTATGTGTTTCCCTTTCTATTTTTTGCCTCAAAGCCGTTAGAAGTATTTTGTTCATTTCTACCATCTCCACTCGTTTTCTTCAGCTCCTCATCCAACTCTCCACAATCTGCAAACAAAACAGAATCTGATTTCTCACCATCATTTGTTTGATGTCTCAACTTGTGAAAGGCAGATTTTTAATTTGTTATTGTTTTCTCTTTCTCTCTCTCTGCCTGGGTTCTCCTGGGATCTTAGGATTCTATTGTTTCTTTTTCCTCCTCTATGTAATGCTTTTAGAAACCCACTCATAATCTCACCGTGAAGTGCTAACCAACTCTTATTTAAAATCTTTCCAAAAATCTTGAATGAGCTAAGGACCCAACAACAAACCACTGAAGAGGTTGTGGCAAAATGCCAGTAGCAAAACATTTTAACATTCACATTCTCCTTTAGGGGGGGGAAAAATACCACAAACCTGTGTTCCAGAGATAGGTGCAAAAGGATTGTTTGGCCTTAGACCGGTCTGGGTATAAATCATGGGCTGAGGTGTCATAATAGGGGCAGTTCCAATCTGCGTAGGTACCTGAAGATAGAAAGAATGGATGAAGTTGTTGGTTGCCCTCCCAGCTTGAAAAGTCACAATGTAATTCATTTTTCTGCAGTCATAAATGTGAGCCAAACAATGATGTACAGCAGGGCTCTCCACATCTTCCCCAGCCAGGGGTCATGTTGTCTGGGGAATTCTGGGAATCTTAAAGTTGCCAAGCTTGGAGGTCTCTGCTGTACAGCATAATCCTCCATTCAGGAAACACTGTGAGGATTTCCCAAAGAAGGACCGTCTTTGGACAACTCCTGGAACAGCTGCTACATCTGCATTCACGAAACAACTTTAGCAGGCTACCACTGCACAAGAAAAAAATAGCAGCTCTTTATTACTAGTTGTTCAAGGACAGTGAGACCAAACTCTAGCAACTGTCATGTTGGTTTTCTTTTTTAGTCTAACCAAGTAAAATCAAATTGTATTTTAGTAACTTTATTTGAAAAATTAGAGTGGGGGAATACTCATATTCCCAACATAGTGATGATGACCACCTATAAGTCCTGGCTGAATCTTACTGCTGTACCCTGAATTATTTGGCTGTGTTGATTGTATCTCATAATGCCCTTGGAACAGCATACGGAAGCTTCAACTAGTGCAGGATGGAACTGCACAGGTAAAAAATGGTGCTGGTTATTCAACACGTGAACCATCAATAAGCCGAGAGCTGCACTGGTTGCCAGTATGCTTCTGGGTTCAATTCAAGATACTGGCTGTCATTTTAAAACCCTTCATAGCTTGGGTTACTTAAGGGATCATCCTTTCCCAATTGTTTCCAGAGTCTGGCATGCTCTGAGTTGGTTAAGGAATGCTGGTTGACAATGCCCAGGAGGTATGCCTTTTCTGACTTAGCACATGCCCTACAGACCATTTCTCCTCCAGGTATTAGGATGACCCCAACCCATCTGACAAGGCCCCCAAATATTTGAAGGATCTGATCTCCTGGATATCAAAGCTAGCATCTTTGTATTTGTGATGGGATTTTTTTTTTTAACATTGTATGCTGCCCAGAATCTCTTGTTGAGATGGTTTTCCAAACGAATAAATAAATAATTCTATATACCTGGGATTCGGTCAAGATTGAGTAATCAACATGGCTCAAGAATATTCAATCCTGTCCAAATATTTATACACTCAAACTTTTGTGGCACATTGATGCGTTAGCTTTGTTTGGATCATTATGGAATAGTCAGGAACTATTTAGTATTTGTTTCTTATTTAGGAATTATGCAAGACCCAAAGCATGTCTTCTGAATGTTTATGAATGAAATTTCCACAGCTCTAACATTATCTTGTAAAAAATCCTAGCACAGAGAGTATGTTAGTTTTCCATCCTGCAGTTTTATTGTCCAAATATGCCATGTGTTTAATACAAAGATTATGAATCTTGCATAAATGTCCTGAGTAAGCAGATGCTACCCAATGCAGAACATGTTAAGCTGCCAGGTGCAAAAGGACCATAAGTGAAGTTCCAGTTAAACTGATTTATTACTCATGCACAGGGATCTACTCAACTAATGTTTAACACTATTTTGGCACTAGTAAAAGTTAAAGGAATTTAAAGGGGTTTGGACTTAGTCCGTTTGAGGCTACATAGAGATTCTAGGCTGATTCCTTTTTTAACTTTGCCCCTGCATTGTATTGTCACTCCTTCTCTACATAGCCTTAGAAAAATCACAGATATTAAAACTGGGGGTTGCTGGAGGGGGTATCTCTACCATATAAAGATAAACCTATCAACCCTGAATAACTTACCATTCCATACACAGGCACTTGAGGTGTATTTACTGGGTAGGTTACTGGAGCAGGTACCTTTGATGGAAGAATAAAAAGAATCTGCATGTAACATTCGACTATTGCCTTTTTTGAAAACTCCAAACAAGCTATTTAAAAGACATACTTATAAGTCTGGTTAAAGAAAAAAAAACCTGGATCATAGCACAGAAATAAGGAAAAATCCAAGGTTCATTCATTTATACAGTTGAAAATATAAAAAAAGGGTTGAAAGTATTTTATTGTAGAACAAAAGTGGTAGTTTTGCTAAAACCAATCAGCTCTTTGCATTCTGACTGACATTAAGCATACTGCAAATACATAGACTTTTCTTCTGAAAGTATCTTAGCCTGCTATACTCAAACTTTACATTTTAAAAGTAAAATTAAAATAAATAAATGCTAATTTAAATTTAAATTTAAAAATTACAATTTTGTAAAAATAAACATGTAAGCACATACCATCTGTGGAGCAGGTGGTACAGGAACGGTGTTCCACGTAGTTGAGGTGCTCGTTTTTGCTTGCCAATTGTTACCCCCAGTAAGTTTCTTCTCTGTAGGCTGATTCCACTGCATATCAGATCTAAAGGGAAATGTACAAACAAAGCAGTTTTATTCAGAAACCTATCAGGGCTTCCCCCATATTCTCACCATTGCAATTAGAAGTTACAAAAACCTCTGAACAAATGCTAGCATTCCTCAGATTCATTGATTTGATTTGTATTCCACCTTTATAACTCAAGGTGCCAAACATACCTAATACCTTTTCTTCCTCCACAATCAAAGCCCTGCGAGGTGGGTTGGGTTGAAAGAACAGGACTGCAAGCTTTCATGTCAAAGGCGGGACTAGAACTCAATCAACCAAATTTTTATTACAGATATAGACTAGCATAAGAAGAGTTGAAATACAAACAATGTTCTTTATAATAATGTTTCAGCTTTTTAAAATGTTTGCGTATTTTATATTTTTGTAGCTTTTAAAATTATTGTTTGTATTCTATCCTTCTTAAGTCGGCCTATGGCTGTAAAAAAGATTTAATGAATTGATTGGACTAGAATTCATTCTCCTGGTTTCTAAGCTAGCACCTTAACCACTACACCTAACTTTAGATTTTCTAAAAATAGGTATTAAAAAGTGGTGTCATTTTGTTTCAATACACATTTTGCTTGGAAAGGAGCTGGAGGGAGGGCATTTTGGTATCATTTAACTTATCCCAGAACCTAACCTACCACAGTGTACCAAATTGTGGCTCTGGACCAAGAGGAAAAAAACACAAAGGTCACTCAAAATTTGTCCAACCCCGTATTAATGCCTGGGCTTCTTTTCATAGCCGCTCTCATCACATGACATGCCCCCCCTGTTTTAAAGAAGACTAAATGGATCCTCCAAACTGCTTACTTCTGCAAGCCAGGCAAAATAGGGAGCCAAACATTTATTATGAATTTCAGAGATCCAGTTGTTGTTCACAATCAGCTCAACCACCTGGACATTTTGGAGATGGGCATGGCCACAGTTTTCACAAAAGCAGGAACTCCTCAGTAGGCAGGTACTTTTTGATGGCCAAGTTCTATGTGGAACAGGCCTCAGAAGATGTATTACATGTTTAAGGAGGTGCGTTTCTTCTCCCATTATGGTTATGAATCATTTACATGTAGCTTGTTATTTAAGTACAAACTGTTATTTTATAAAAACACCACCACATTCTGAATACCTGTACATACAGCATAATGTATAACGTATATACAGTAAACCCTTCGTTTAACAGACTAGAGGGGGGCGATTGCTAAAGGAAAACATCCATTAAGTGTGCATATTTAACGAACTTTGTATACCTTATGCATGCATAAAATGGAAGTTTGCACATGATCAGAAATATGCCATGCATGGGCAGATATTTTTCTGCTGCGTTTGAAGTTTGCTGAATGGAAAAGTATATTGAGGCCTTTACTGTGTTAATGCTTGCATGTATTTGTTTTTCCTCAAGGTTAAAAGGGACTGGTTGAATACCCCCAAAATTCACAAACTTTTCATTTTCACTGTTCAAACAATGCTATTCAAGTGGATAATTTTCGGATAATTCAAGTGGATAATTTTCGGATTATGAGATCTGTTTGAGCAACTAGAACAGAAACTTGCTAGCAAGCAGATGATTATATGCTTTTAACTGGTTGCTGTAAATGTTTGAGTATATTCACTTATGCATTACTTTGGATAAACAAAAACAAACTACTGTTTACTAACATGAAATGTTGCAATATCTGTTTCAACATAATGTAGCAATCTTCTTAAACTGCTAACTTCCTATAATTATTCTGCTGCAGTGATCAGATTGTGGAAAGCCGGATTAAAAATATCAACTTAAATTTTAGGAACTGTTTATCAATATACAAGCAATTATTTTAAGATAAAAATATGTATGTGTTCTCACTTTTTGGGTGGTGTCCCTCCAAATCCAAGATCTGCAAGAAAATCCATCAAAATAATTTAATTTTAAAAAATGAGGATTCCTTTATATATAAAAATATGGAATTACATTTAAAAAAAAGCTTTGTACTTACTTCCTACTAGATTAGCAAGTGACGAGTCAAGGTCATTGGCCAAAATCCTCCCACTTTGTTGCCCAATTACATTTCCTCTCTGATTTTGTGCAGCTACTGTTGGTTGTAATACATCATCTGAAAATTAAGGGTAATTCATTAAGAACTAAGTCATGCACAGGCAATTCTATTTTGGCTTCCTAAAATTATAAGTTACATAGAACAGAATTGTAATGGACCCTGGAGGTCTTCCAGTCCAAGCCCCTGCTCGAGCAAAAGACCTATTTCAAACAAGTGGCTGTCAAGTCTCTTCTTAAAAGCCTCCAGCAACATGGCACCCACAACCTCTGAATGCAAAGGGTTCCACTGGCGGTTCTCACTGTTAGAAAATTGCTCCTTAGTTCCAGGTTGCTGCTCTCCTTGGTTAGTTTCTATCCATTGCTTCTTGTCCTGCTTCTGGTACTTCTGAAATATGTTGACCCCCTCATCTTTTTGGTAGCCCCTCATATATTGGAACACTGCTATCATGTCTCCCCCCTAGTCCTTCTTTTGTCACGCCCCTGTTGGAATCTGATTCCTAGGGGGGAGGTCGAGCAGCTGATAAGGAGTAGGAGTGTGGCTCCGGTGGCTGTGGAAGAAACTGGGGAAGGGCACTGTCCAGTTGGGCATTCAAAGGAAGACCCAGGGCCCACCCCCTCTTCATCCTAGGGCATGCAGGGAAGAACGGAGAAGGGAGCAACATGAGTTACGGGGGTTATAGGGGAGAAAAGGGCCCTGATTCCCTTCATTAGCTGCAGCTGGGAAAACAGGATTTTAAAAGAGCGTTTGTGCACAGCACCTTGCTGGAAGCAAAGCGTGAATTTATCTTTGTTTGTCAAGTCTTATCTGGGTTCCAGCGTCCTCCCAACTGTGTGTGTTTCGTTATCTTTTGAAGTCTGCAATTCCTTATCCTGCCCTGTCTCATTAATTGCTGCAGCGTGGTTTGTGTTGGTTTTTATTTATAATTTTTGGGTACTTTGGGTTTGGACTGAATTTCTTCCCTTTAAAAGCTGTTCTTGAGAGTTTTTTTCTCCAGCCGATGATAACTGGACATTGGGGGCCAAGTTGGAGGAATTAAAGGGACTTTATCTACTTTTGTGACTTTGTTGCTTTTGTGCCACGCCCCGGGTCATCACATCTTTTCACTAGACTAGCCATACCCAATTTCTGCAACCGTTCTTCCTAAGTTTTAGCCTCTGGTCCCTAACCATCCTTGTTGCTGTTCTCTGCACTCTTTCCAGTGTTTCAATATGATCTGTCTCATTCTTCCATGGTGGAACATTCAATATTTTCTTTTCACAAGTAAGGGCACAAGTCACAAAAATAAAGTTAACTACTATTTTATGTTAAGTCTGAAGCTAGTTTATGGTTTACAAAGGCAGGGTATGACACCATGATTTAAAAGGCTAATAGTGACTTGACTTTTTCTCTCCGACATGAAACGGCCATGTGAAAGCAGACAAGATTCATTCACAACTCAGCTTAACAAGCCACGACAGGAGTATAATAGCACAGCTTTCAAATTCCAAAACAGTCCTGTAAGCTATTAAGTAGTGTTTTCATTTTTACAAAAGGCCCTATCAAGATGCAAGTTTGAGATATTATTAGTTAAGGGAGAAATTGTTTAGGTATTATACGCCTCTCCTCTTAAGCAATAAATGGTGGATGGATACCAGGTTCCTCTCTTGCTGATGAGCACATGACTTTTCCAGCAGGGCTTTTTGATAAATTACCTTATTTAGAGAAGTATAAAGCTAAAAGCTAAGGCAAGCTTTAAAAAAAGGCATGAGAAAAATAAGAGCTTTACCTGCTGTAGTTCCAAAATCATTTATAGTTGATTTTCCACCAAATACAGCATCAAAGTCCACATTGATTGTTGAAGAGGTTGTTTTCTGTGATGCAGAATGAAGAGGGTAGCCTAGCAAAACAGTGTCAGATTTAACAGAATTAAACAGTCTTGAAGCCTAAAAGAACTACAAAAAACTATTACAGGGACCCCAAAACCAGAGGAGAAAGTGGAGGAGCTTGACTATTGCACTCATCTCAGCAGACAGACAGATTGCAAAGGATGAATTGAAGCAAGGGCGTGCAGAATGTAGAAGAAAATGAAAGGCAACCCCAATGTATTTTACTATGATTATAAAACTATGCCAAATAGAAAACATGCACGTTTCATAGAATTATGCCACTTGTAGTCCAAATGAAAATCACCATAATTATTCATTGAATTAAAATAGAAATGGCAATATATTCAGAGACTGAATTTCAACTGATGTACATATATAAGAACGAGAATTACAATTTCTATTGGTAGGAAAGAATTAGAGAATTTTCTTTACCACTAAATAGTTCCACTGTTTGTTTGGAGCCAAAGGTGGAGCTCACAAAAGGAGTTGTACTTTTTACAGCTTCTTCAACCGGTTTCATATCAAAGACATCCAGATGGGGTGGAGACCCAACACAACCATTTGTGGATGAGAAATGTCCTTTCAGGTGACAGCATTAGACAACAAGAAAGAGAAAGAAGAAAAACCAGAAGACAAAGTAGTATTCAGGAGAGAAAGCAAAGTCACAGTCTGCAGAGTTCACAGAAGTGAGACATTTTTCCCCAAGCGGATGCCTTCCAGATGTGTTCGTTCCAACATGCTGGTTGATTTTCTTGGAGTTGCAAACTAATACATCTAGAAGCTACCAGATTAGGAAAGGATAATACAGAAAAGCCAAGTTGTAATGTGTTTGTTTTAAAAAAAGAAAGATCTGATCTCAACCAACTTAAATTGGTTTGCAACTCATATCGGTTTTCTTGCTGTTGTTCTCCAGAGATGGACAACAGAATTCTTAAATGATTTATCATTTAGGCTTTTAACATACAGTAGTTAGTTGATTTGGGAGCCATCAACTTCATCCTAAAGTATTTATTTCATTTTTGTTTATTTACTGCATTTTTATGCCACTCATCTCTCTTACAAAGTGACTCTGAACAGCCACTTTCCACAAAGGGGTTAGATCATTTTATTATGGGGCCATGGTTGAAAACGATTGTTGTAATTCTCTTGCTCGGCTTTAAGCGATGGAAGATTGGGAAGATCCTGTCTTATCCACATATAAAAGTGAATGCACAAGCTGGACAATTACGCAGTAGAGAAACTATCGGATCTTTATTGGGACTGTTACTTTTATGTATCTGGAGAATCAGGGTGAAACATCGGAGTCAAATGTGCTGCTGCTGCTGCCTCAGCGGATTTAATTATGGGCTGAATTTAAAAAAAAAAGGAGTGTAGCAGGAAAAAAGTAAGAAAGTGTCCCTGTACGGCACTTAATTATAAGTACATCTTAACCACCAGCCTCTTGAAAATCTGGGACACCAGGGGTTCATTCACATGTTATTCTAAGCCGGAAAACATGGTTTACGTATCACAATGGCTAGGTTCATACATTGCACTAAGTCAAGCAATTATATTATGGCTTAGTCTGTTGTGTAAAAGTAGTCCAAAAGTTGCCACAGAATGTGTGATGCCAAGGAGAGAAAGGAGGGGGTTGAAAAATCTATCTGCACTTTACACTTTAACCAATTCAGACTGGCAATCTGAAATTCAACTTTTCTGGCAGAATACCACTTGAATTTGCATAGGCAACTGAGAAATGGCAATGTGCAGTACATAGTAATAGATACATGAACTCTTTTTAGCCCTATTTAATTAAAATGAAATATCAACAGAAATCTTTGACTAAAACCCCTTCTCTCAATTAGATCCAATTACACTTCAAATTCTGAAGAACATACTTAAGTCTCTTCAATTCACTCAAGCTCATGTTGAAATCAAACCACCCAGAAGGAAGTAACAATATCACAAAATAGCCAGTGTGTGTAAAAAGTTCAAGCAAGAAAGACAGCAATGTTAATTTGATATATAGTCTGTGCAGAAGCAGCTCTCTTCCAGATCATTAGCTATTACTTCTCTGCTGCAGCTGCTAGTGGAAGAGATACCTGATTTGCATGGCAACAGAGGCTTAGTTGTGTGCTCAGGTGTTCAAGGTAAATTGACAGAGGAAAGAATTCCGAGTAACATCACTCTTCTCTTTAGCCACAAAAGCCACCTACCTCCCCAGGCACTGCTTGCTGACGTTGCTATAGCTGGAGTACTTTGTACCGTAGGAACAAATGCAGGTTGAAGATCGAAGAGATCGGTAGAAAGGTTGGGCATGCTGAAAGTTTCAAGAAGAAAAGTTTCAAGAAAAATCGTATTTATTATCTGTGCATCTGACGGAGCTGAAGTTGAAACTTCAATCTTCCAGAACAGTGGAAACTGAATGAGAAACCTAACAAGCATCTTAAGCTCCACAACAGAATATTTGACTTTATTTACTGCAATACAAGATTTAAATCTGAGGAAGAATCTATTCCATTTCAACACCATTGTTGATTCATTTTGAGTATCAAGAATAACTTTATCTGTCTCTCTTTTTCTTAGCAAAGCTGGCAACAAAAAGCCCCCCCCCCCTTTATTCAAAGTGTCCTGAAAAAATGAAGAAAGTCTGGAGCCAACGTCTTGTTTGAACTGCCCAAGCACCTTCTGAAAATCCTCTAAGATCCTTTAGGCGCTTGGGATAGGTAGATTTAATACTGCAGAGAGGGGTTCACTCGTAAATCTTCACAGAAATCTGTCCATGACAGGAGTGAAGGTCAGTCCTCCCCCCCCCACCCACATTTTCAGGTCATGTTGTATCTTGTCCAAGATATCCGAAAGAGGAAAAAGGGAGAAATCTAATGTGCAACTGTAAGATGAATCAGGTCCATGACTGTCATGGCGTCATTAACTCCTGCATAGCTTCAGACCTCCACGCAGAAGGAAAGCAGATTGAAACAGCACAAGCACAGTTCCACCCCTGAGAGGGGATGAAATGGAGTGTTGCTGAGCGACAGAGGGAGCAGAACACAAGCAACGGATCCTTCAGGCCCAGCCACATAAACAGGGTCTCACAGCTCTTTATCTAAAGGAGCAGCCCTTCTAGACGCCAGCAGAATCTCATGGATGCCAGCAGAATCTCATGGATGCCAGCAGATGCTGCCACCTATGACTGCATCTGATGCAGAACCCAAAACCCACAATGGAGGACATCCCCGTTCTCCCACACACAGGTTTGAGTGATGCAAGCCAAGTCTCCCCTCACTCACAACTAATCAAGAATGAAGTCAATCTCACTCATTAACAGAGATCTAATACTTCACAGCCACACTGGAAACCCCAGGGTTCCAGAGATTTGACATTCTGGTGCCCTGGAGATGAAGACTGAGAGCTGGAAGTAGGGACCCTGGCTCTCAGCCTCTCACCCTATCCTTCATGGCCTGTCCTGACTGCAACCACGTGTTCCCTGACTGACTCCTCCCCATCTCAGCCCCCAGAAATCCCCAGACCAGGTTGGGTAAATTTTCCAATGCAAAACAAAATAAACAAGCAGATCATGAATGTTCACCGTCCTATTAATTTTTTGGTAGTTTTTCCGTGACTGAAATACAAGCCCATGCCTACCTATTGGTAGTTGGGGCGGGGGCTGCAAAGAGGTCAACGGCAGGATTGGTGTTCACGCTCTTTCCTGATAAAGTGCTTGGAGAAGCAGAAGTAGAAGTAGAATTGGAAACGACAGAAATCTCCCTCAATCGTTGTTCCTACAAAAAAGAAAAAAAAGAGATGACAATAGATGCTGCATTAGCTTTCTCACACAAAAAAGGCTGAATGCACCAGAAGTGAAACTTCATTATCTTGCGGAAATTAACCCATATTCCTGTCATGTGACAGGACTATCTGGCAAAATACAAAAACAGATTGCTCAACTTTTTCCACAGAAAGCAGTGGAATTTTTACATGATTTATATGATTTTTACAAGCTGATGACCTAGACAAACCTTTGCAATGGAAAAAGAGTCAAGCATTTATGGGACTCTACCCTCATTGAACTCAATGGAACCCAAATGTGTGTTTAGCTTTGCTTGACTTGTGAATTGAAGCTGTGTTAAGGCATATTGTATGACAAACTGAGATTAAGATGACAGTACGTGATAAATGACTGCAGTAACTCTTCTAAATGTTAATTTACTTTTTTTGGGGGGGGGCGGTGTTTCCATTCAGACAAAATGGCAAAAGCAAGAAAGGGGTCCTTTTCTCGGCGAAGCTTGATCTAATGGGCTAAAATTAAGGAAGCTTTTCTTAGGGATGTAGGAGAGATTGCTATTGCGCTCAGAGATGGGTAGCATGTAAATTTAATAAGTGGCAACAGCAACAAAAGCAGCTTCTACATGTCAGAGATACTTAGCTCTGGTGGCACAAAGGTTGAAGTGCAATATTGGAGGCTAACTCTGCTCACAGCCTGGAGTTTGATCCAGATGGGACTCAAGGTTGACTCAGCCTTCCAGCCTTCTGAGGTCAGTAAATATGGACCCAGATTCTTAGGGGAATATGCTCACCTTTTAAACCACCCAGAAAATGCTGCAAAGCGTTATGGGGCAGCATAATATAAGTCTAAATGCTACTGGCTATTATGTCTACCAATTCAGGACTTAATACCTTCAGAGCCTGCAGTCTAGCTTGCTCTTCCTCCAGAGCCTGCTGTTTCTCTCTTTCATCCATTTTACTGAAGGACATTCCTGTGTTAGCCAGGGTGGAAACAGCACTGGAGAGAGTACTTGCTCTGAATTTTAGAGAAAAACACACAGACACAAAGGCATTTAGCAGCTCTGAGCCTAAACAAACAGCCTAGAGAAGAACCAGAAGAGAACGAACCTCTTGTTATACAATTAAACATTCTCAAATCAATGAGAAAAAAAAGTAGTAGATAGGCATTCAGACTGCAATCCTTCACATACTTAACTAATGAAATAAAGGTGTTTTAAGAGTATCTGCAAATATGGGCAGAGATCGCCAAGGTGGGATGACTACCTGAGTTACATGAATAAATAATCTGAAATGGAAATATTTAGAGGTAATCTTTGACTTACAACGATTCCTCTAGGGACTGAAATTAAAATGGCACTGAAAAAAGTGACTTATGACCAATCCTCACACTTAAAACCACTGCACCATACTCATCATCTTATGATCAAAATTACGATCCTTGACAACTGGCATGTATTTATTTACAACAGTTGCAACATCCCAGGATCTCCATACTCTCCATTTGCAACTTCTGACAAGCGCAGTCAATGTAGGAAGCCGGATTGGCTTAATGAGTATGCAATTCACTTAACAACAGCAATGATTTGCTTAACAACCATGGCAAAAAAAGGTTATCAAAGTAAGGGCTGATTCAATTACCGGTAACCCCTTACTTAGCAATGGGCCCAACTGTAGTCATAAGTTGAGGACTGTCTTTATACAAGTGGGAATTCTGAAGAAATGGACATCCTCGTGCTCCTTTCCCTCCTTTAATATCAAGCAATAGCACCACAATTTTGCCATTATGGTAAGAACTGTACAATAGTCCCAAAGGTGCTTTTTCAGGAGGCAACTGGACTTGTTTTTTCTTTTAAAGACATTTCGCTTCTCATCCAAGAAGCTTCTTCAGCTCTGACAGCATGGTGGGGAATGGAAGGATTTATACTCCTTGCAGACAGCTGAAAAAGCACTTTGGGGCAACCATGACCAGGATGACTGAGAATCTCTACAAACTGTTCAGTAAGTTTCTGTGCATTTTAATTGCCAGCACTTGGTTATCAAAACTTTTATTTTAACCCACTGTATTAGTGTAATCTATTCCCTGAAGGACAGGCGGGACTAGAATTAATCTGCCAGCTGTCCTCACAACGAAGGAAACTTCAGAGATTTGGCTTAAGTAAGAAAACACAGGTCCAGAGAAGAGATAGGCAAGTGCTATTGGCCAATGATCCAAGACGACAAGTAGCAACCAATTGCAAGCTTTGGGCAATTACCTGCTGGCAGCTGAAACTTCTTTGGTCTTCTTTCCTTCCAAAGAAGCCAGATGCTGCTCCAGGGCTTCAAGCAGACTGCTGGGAGCCTAAAGTTAAAAATCTCATATATATTGGATTCTAAAATTCATCGTTTTTAACTTGCACTTTCTGTTCTCAATAGTAGAGAGTTAAATTCTACGCTAAGACATCACGGCAAGATGCTTACAAAGAATAGACTAATGGGATGAGAACCTCCATTTATAGTATATACTCCCAATTTTTAGCTGTTCCTCTTGCTTACACATGACAGAGAGAAAATAATCCAAACATGGTCTTCTGTATAACAGGATGCAAATAATTACTAAGAACACAGAAGCTATAATAGACCGTAGGTCAGGCTATAGATCATCTAGCAAAAAAATATTTATTATGAATGGCAGCAGCTTTCCAAGATACCAGGGGTTTTCCCACACCACTTTTAGCCAGATCAGCAAGGTGTTAAACTCATAAGATTCTTGTAGACTATTCTTCTCAGTCTAGGGAAGTCTTGATACTTTTATGTTGCCTTCTAGATCAACTTTTCTCAACCTTGGCAATATGAAAATGGGTGGACTTTAACTCCCAGAATTCTCCAGCCAAGTTGCCACAGTTGAGAAATGCTGGTCCAGGCAAGAGGGTGTCCAGGCTTTTGGTGGAGAAAACTGGAGTTCCCAAATACCATACACGTAGTCCTTGACTTATAACAGTTCATTTAGCAACTGTCCAATGTTACAATGGTACTGAAAAAAGTGACATGCCAATTTTCACAATTACCACCTTTGCCCCATGGTCACATGATCAAAATTCAGATGCCAGGCAACTGATTCATATTTATAACTGTTGCTGTGTCCCCAAGGTCCTGTGGTCGCTTTTTATGATCTTCTGACAAGCAAAGTCAATGAGGAAAACAGATTCACTTAACAACTGGGTTACTAACTTAACAATTGGAGTGATTCAATTAACAACGGTGGCCAGAAAAGGTTGTAAAATGAGGCAAAACTCACTTAACATACGTTTCACTTAACGACAGAAGTGTTGGGCTCCATTGTGGTCAAAGGCTACTTGTATCAATCTTTTCTGTTGCTGAACTTCCCTTGCTATATAGTTATAGAAAGAACTGGTTTTAACGGGGGTCCCTGGCCAAAGTAAGTATTATGGTTACGTCCTCTTTTCAGGGGATGCTAGTCTGGGTTGAGCGTTCACACTATTTGATCCTACGGTCTGCTTCCTTTATTAGAACACCTGGAATAGAATGCAAAGGTGCTATTTTTCAGTAATTTAGTGTCACTTCCTGCAAGTGTTTTTCCTCTTTGAAAAATGGTCTGGCCTGAAAGAAATCCCAGTTACACCTATCAGGCAACAATTTAAGAATTAAGAGACAGGAGAAAGATCAATTACAAATTGTAAATGCAGAGCAGGATGCTATGGGAGAATGAATGTAAATCTAAATCTTGAGGCTGTGTGAGTTTCAAACACAGAGTATTGGATAAAGAATCTATTCTATTTTGTATTTACCTTATTTCTATATATTTCAAAGCAATCTAAAGGCATTTATCCAATGAAGTGTGCCCAAAGCAAATATTTTTATTTTCCTTAGCACATTTTGCTTAATCCATAATTCAAAACAGGGCTCTATTAAGCTGTTAACTACATCTGTTTCCTTTCTCTATCATGTTAAACTCCACACATCACAAACTGATGGTAGCTGGGGAGATGAGTATTGTAGTTTTTAAAGTCTCAGCTTTCCCTGAATATTGTGCTAGCAAACATTTTCGGAAAGGAGCCATCTAGAGACACGACTTCCCTCTCCCAGTGTTTAACACAGATAAAAAGGACCAAATTGCTGACATGGCGATCTGCAGATAATGCAGGCCAAATGATTCTTGGATAAACTGGACAGCAAAGTTATATAAAAAAAGAGCTAAATAGCAACTGTGCAAATAGGAAGGAAGAGGGGTAAGATGGGGTGGATGGCACAGGCAAAGAGGCAGAAAAAAACTAAAGCGCTTTGTCAGCATAGTGACAGATGGACTCACATGATAGGAATCTATGGAAGCATTTGATGGAACTGTGTAACTACTGCATCTGAATGATCAAAGTTACAACCTGGCTAGGAGGAATTTTCTTACACTGTTTATAGCAGGGGTCTCCAAACTAGGCAACTTTAAAACATGTGGACTTCAACTCCCAGAATTCCCTAGCCAGCATGAGAGTTGAAGTCCACAAGTCTTAAAGGTGCCAAGTTTGGAAATCCCCGGTCTATAGAATCACTCTGTTGTGCTAATTCTGTACAATCTTTCACAGAAGCATCTAATGCTGCCTCTTATACGGTCGGCTCATCTGTTTAGCCCTGTATTAGCACAATGAAAGAAAATGCCCTCCCAAATGTAAAGTTAAGATCCTGTCTCGTCCACTTAATACTATCTTGAAAACAGGATAATTGGGGCACTGAATCTTAATATTTTCTCCAAGAAAAGATAAAGTTGTTATTATACTTTTAGTCACTTAGATTTATAAGTCTACCCAACTCAACACTGACTCTGGGCATTGTACAGATTTATAAAAACAGATACAACACCTAAAACCAAAAATAAACCTAAGTATAATGGAGAGAACAGGCATGCTCAAATGCAACAAACCCTGTATACCAGATAGGTACATCCTACCTATGCTAAAATTGAGGAGGGGGGTTGTGCTTTTCAGAGACTATTTAAAACAGGGTTTCCCAACCTTGGCAACTTGAAACTCTTGTTTAAAGTCTTGCAGGGTCAGGACAGTGCCACTGTCTGGTGGATATTACTCCAGCAGTTGACACTGTAGCAGAGAAGTTGGGGCTTCGTACATCAGATAAGGTTACTTAACAGATGAGACATGAAACTAATTCACTTTCTCAGACACTTTGGAGTTGACAGAACTGGTGGAAGGGAGGTTGCCTGAGATATCCAGATCCCCTATGCCACAAATGATGTTATAGGTGATAATCAGCACTTTGAACTAAACTCAGAAGCTCAATGATAACTACTGCAGCTTTCATAGCAGGTGTATTGCATGGGCATACCAAGGTGCTTCCACAATGGCTGGTGCTGCTCCATTCTGGACCATTTGTAGCTTCTGAGTGGTCTTCAAGGGTAGCCACACGAGACCAGAGCGGAAGACGAGTGACTGTGACAAGGGACTTGCAGTCCAAAAAGGGCACAATTGCTACACCAGATGAATTGGTGCAACAGCTCTTCTGGCTTTAACTACCATGTGCTCATTGAACAGGAATTTTGAGTCCATGAGGACTCCCAAATTGTGCACCTGTCTTGGCTGGAAAGTGATACCCTATTCAGAACCAAAGATGGAGAATCTCTGACATTTGAACACCCACTCTCCCATAGCCACTATGTCTTGTCGGGGTTCATTTTAAGCATGTTCTCTCTCAGCCAAACTAAAACAGGTCCCAATACTGGAACATTAATAGTAGAACCATCCCAAGGATGCTTTCAAAAGGTAACTGGACTTTCGTGGGATATTCCTTGAAAATGTTTCACTTCTCATCCAAGAAGTTTATTCAGCCCTATGTATTAATATCAATAACAACACAGAATGAACATTAGGAAATCTTAAATCTATCCTTTACTTGGAAGACATCGTAACATATAGACCCCGTGATGGCGAACCTATGGCACACGTGCCATAAGTGGCATGCAAAGCCATTTGTGCTGGCACATGAGCCGCAGGCAAACTTACCTCACTGCGCATGCCCGCGCTTCACAACTGATTATTTTTCCGATTGGTTTGAGGCCTTTTTCGGCCTCCCAGAGGCTTGGAAAAAGCCTCTGCAAGGCTTCTCAGGATGAATTATAGGCCCATTTCGTCACTTCCTGTAATACCGGAAGTGACAAAACAGGCCCCTAATTCGGCCTGAGAAGCATTGCAGAGGCTTTTTCCAAGCCTCTGGGAGGCCGAAAAATCAGCTGTGTGGCACAGTGCAGGTAAGGGGGTGGGGATTACGCAGGCATGCGCAGGGGGCGTGGGGAAGGGGTGTGTGCATTGCATTCTGGGTGCTGGCATGTGAGTACGGGCATGCTGGCGTGCTCGCAATTTTTGGCACAGGAGCCCAAAAAGGTTAGCCACCACTGATATAGACTAACGTTACATGGTTCATTCAACATCAGTTATCAAGAATTTCACATAGAACCACTTCCCATGAGCACTTCTTCAAAGAGATAACTGAAGCTATGAATCTCTGCAACTCCACTGTATGGCTTAACCCTTGAACTACAACCTTCTCTCTTTGTTAAGGCACTGTCCTCAAGCTGATGAAATTGGAGAAGATGGCTGTATTTTAATAAAGTTCTTCTCTCTGGCACTGTATGGATTTCAGCAAAACAGTCTGGTTGTAATGTTTAGTAACAATATCTACAGAGAGCTCATGAAAATACTTAAAAACAGCTTGTTACTGATCAAACACACACAGATTACAGAAAAAAATGACACTTATTTCCATATATAACATATATGGAAGAAAATGAATTCTCAGAATGTACAGAATGGAGCACTCACTGTTAAAAGCACAAATGCACAAAGGGCTGGGATTAAATTAATATGAAATGTACACTGACCTGAGTAAGATCTGGAATGTCACCCTGATCAATTCCAACTTGCTGGGTTCACAAAAAAGGGAAAAAATGTACATTACTACATGCAGTGGCAATGAAAAGAAAGAACTGTGGACCTGAATGTCTACATAAAGCTAAGGGACCAGGGAGGACACGGACTGCTTTCTGAACTGGTACAATTCTAAATGCCGCTTCCACCATAAATTTTAATATTAAGTGTTGATCCATTTCAAATACCGGAAAGAGCAAAAATAGCTTGTGAGAATTTTTGACACCACTTGGAAAAACAACTTCAATAAGTACCTCAGCACAGACATCTCTTAATTACAATTAATAGAAATCAGACGATCAAAATATCCCTTTAAAATGGAAATGGTTTAACTGACATTTACATTCAACAACCACATAAAACCTACATTTGCAGGAAATTATGAGGCAAGAACTACAATCATGCACTTATTACTGTACCAGTACAGAAAAGCTAAATGAAATATTGCTGATGTGACTGGATTTATTTACCTCTGCCACTTTGAGGAATTCTGATAGTTTGGTCATTCTGGCTAAAAACTTTTTGTAAATATCCAGACCTTCTTTGCACTGGTTCTTCTTCATATCAAAATATTTTTCTAAAGTATAAAATTCAAAGAAAAGATATTGTAAATAAAAGGGCTCCAAACATACATATTTTATTAGGGGTTTAATAGGCTGAGAAAATAGAATACATCCTAACCAAGAGCTTGATTAACACATAAGAATCTGCCATTTTTTTTTCACTATGGTGTTATAAGCTCTCACATTATATTATTGAGGACAAATAAAAAATGCCTGGAAATGAAAAGGTTAGAAAAGGCTTTTATCTCTGTCAGACCACAAATTAATATTATTACAAAGCTTTGGCTTTAACTCCGGGAGATTACAGGAAGGCTACTACAACATTAATTATGCAAGGTGATAAACTTCTTTGAGATATGTATTAAAATTCTTAAAAAACATTTCTAACCTGTGGAATTCAATGAAGTTATTAAAAAAAACAGCAGATGGATCCTAAATTCAATTGTGGGTGAGATTTAGAATAGAATTCTCATCCACAATTGAATTCTATTATTCTACTTTCCATTTTTTAACTTTATTATAAATCTTAGACAACGAAAGGAAATATCAATCAATTTATTCCCAAGGAGTCTTTAGTGATGTTTAATGAGAATTTTACAAACTCTTCAGCATCTTCTGAGCCACACACAGTCTTTTTCATAGTTATAGAAGAATGCAAATTTTCACAATTTTATCATTACTACGAAGATTAGAATGGTCCCAAGAAGTTATATCTACATTCAGAATATTTTAAGAAGCTGGTCTGCATTGATATACCAAGAATCAAGTTTCTATCTCCTCCAAACCATCAGAGCTTAATGTAGTGTGCATAATTTCAGTCTTAATTTCATTGAACATAATTAGTTGGTTCACACATGGTTTGCTTTACCATGTTGTTTACACTTTTGTCCATTTATCTCCTCTCCCACTTCCCAAATTCAGATTGATTTAATACCAGGAAATAACAAACAATACAAATTGCAACTCTAGAAACTTCTGTAGCTGTTGATTTTGGTAAGTGAAGTGTGTGTTCCCTGAGAACTAGTTAAACTGCTGAAGTGTTATGGAACAAAATATTGATGTGTTGGCCAAGGGTGTGTGTGAGAAACAAATTGAATATGAAGAAACAAAATAGAATATAAAGGAGTGATGGAAAATGTTTAGAAAACCACATACGTATATTTACACGTCTCCATTTTAAATTATTTTTATTTCACATACCTAGTAGGTTAATGATCCCCTCGTTATAGGCTGCAAAAAGCCTAATGGAATCTTTAAAGAGGAGCATGAAGGCAGCATTGATTACTCCATTGGTTAGTTCATTTGGGTTTGCCTGCACAGAAAATGGGGGAAATGAAAAGACTTAAAACATGAGGGAATAAAAACATTCCCTCATTCCCTTGGATAAGTTTTATAGCAGTAAAGAGCAATTCCTAGGCTTACATCAAAATCAAGAAGTGCATCCAACTGATTCTGAATAATTGGCAGGGTTTTCAAAAGTTTTTCAGTATTCATTGTCCTCATCACACCATCAATCCTTTAAAGACATAATGGAAAATATATTGGAAATGTTTATCAGAATAATGCGGGCAGCGCAACAAGATTGCACCCTATGTGTCAGAGTCTACTAAAACTGCTCCTTTCTGCATATGTACACGAGTATGACTTCTGAAATCAAGTAGACAAATAGGCAAGGAAAAGTTTTTTTTTTCAATTTTCAAATCACATTATTGAATCTCTTTAAAGAACATTTCCTATTAATGTTATACCTATATTCACAATGCAGAAAAGGTTAACTGAAAACAGTATTGTAAATACTTTAAATTGATGTAGCAATTTGGATCTTTGTTTTCTCTATGTACAGTATTTCTTTTAAGCTGGTTCCACTCAATATCTGACCTCCAAATACAACAGCATGATAATCTAAATGACTCTTACCCTCTTTTCATTTTGGTGAAATCAACTGCTACAAGTCTATAAGAAAGTGCTTTTTCATTCAAGTATCTGCTATATCGTCTGATGAATGTAGACATATCATAGCCTAAAAATAAAGAAATGTTCAGTTAGACATTTTTTATTTTTACATTCTTATAAGTTTTCCTCTGTGTTAAAAATAATTCAGATTTTTTTTACTATAATAGCCAGATATAACACAATACAATGCAAAAAGAGAGCAATTAGCAATAAAAAGTGCAAGGAAAATAGATATCAGAATAAAGAAAAAGAAACATTAAAAACTTGTGTTACAACTTCATCACAAGTATAAACAAACTTAACTCTTCCATCCTTTCTAAAGTTACATTTATTTCTTCATCCTATATCTTAACTATAAACAAATATATAAAGCACCATCTTTTTAATCCTGGTGTAAGCACAAAGTTCATAAAAGATAGCCACGAGTAACAAAATATTGTATTTTAACCTTAATCAAATAAACCAACTTTATATTAATTCCTTTCACTTCTAACAGTTTTATCTTTAGTTCATTCAAATATTGTCATAGAATTTGATTTCTCTAAATTTCTTCTTTGTCCCACTACACAGAGTACTTCAAATCCAATATTCAAGTCGCTCTCGTTTTTTCATTTGCACTTCCCTTTTAAATTTTAAAACCTGAACAAATTTCTTTTGTAGCTCAAGTGAAACATCCTTTCCTACATTGTTCTCTTCACCTTTTCATTCTTCAAAAGTCTCCTTCAGTATTTCAATTTTATTATGTTTTCCACTATCTTGAAAACCTATGTGTCTTTCCTATAGCCCAAATCTTTAGTTTGTTCTAGTGTACAGTTGTTGAAATCATGAAATTCTTTATGTTAATCTTGCAAAAACCAAAACTGGATCTGTTTTCCAGAAGGTGTATTCTTCATAATTAATTCTAAAATATTGTTATAAAAATTTCAATATTCCAAATTTATCTGTTCTCTTAGTCGGTTCATAACTTTTAAAGATCAAAATCTTATTTAGTTTTTTTGCTATTTCTTTCAGATTCTTTAAATTCTTAAGCTTCCAATTAAAATGTTCTTTCGTTCAGAATTAAAGGTAGACATTGTAAAGATCTGTAATAGTTCAGAAGTAGCTAATAAGCAATTTCTGAAATTGATTAGAAATTGAGCTTTGCTGAGTGTCCTTTCAAAATCTCCATTGCAGTTGCAAGCATGATGGCTAACACTCACAGGAAACTATTGTCCTATAATCTCCTGACAAGAAGTAGCCATTCAGAGCACGTGTGGGAGTTCTTCTGTCCTCTCTTTATCTATAGAGGTTCCAAGAAACTTATCTGTTTGTCTGTTTCATGGTCATCCGTTCCCCTTTCACAGAGCCATATTCAGATTCCCTCCAAAGCCTTCTTATAACAATTCTTCTGGATGTACTGGGATCCAAATTAATTCCAATTCCTTGAAATATCCATCTTCCAACTGCTTCAAGCTTGTAAACCTCTTGGTACTAGCTAATTGATGTAGTCTCTATGAATGGCAGTATTACCTCGTTAAACAAAAGCCAACAACCCTTCGAGGAGTTTTTTTTAAGAACAATTTATGTCCTCATTCAGCTTGTAAATCATCAATAAGCTGGTATTTTAGTAACTGACACTCTGACAAGTTGCTTACAATTCAAAACAAATTCTTTATTTATAGAGATCAGCAATATACAAATAAAATCCATCAGCTAAAAAGCAAAAGACATGCTTCATGTTGCCTCAATTGAACTGCTACTATAATAAATTTTATCTAGTGCATAGGTGGTTTCACAGATTGAAACTGCAAAGTAAAAAGTAAGCATAAAAATTGTCTGTTCCCCAGGTGCCCTTAAGTAGTAAAAGAGGGATTATCATGTCCTTTTGAAGATCCTTGTAAAAGCTACAGTAAAAAGATGTTGAATTGTCTCAATTTCCCAAGGAGAATGTTGGCATATGTGAGAGGTAATAGCAATGATTGTATTCATTATATTTGTAGAATGCAATGACAATAAAGGTATTCTATGATGGAAGGATGCTGTGCCTGGACCTAAAAAATTCCTTTCCTCAAGTTAGAACAAGGGTGTCAAACTCATGTTGTCATGGCAGTGTCACGTGATGTATGGGGATTCTCCCCCCCCCTTTGCTAAACCAGGCGTGAGCGTGGGCAGCACATGACGCATCCAGCCCGTGGGCCAGGAGTTTGACAGTTAGAAGATTTGACCATTGCAAATTCAATGCTCACTTTTAAAGCCCCAATCATCTGAGGAATCACTGTTTTCATTATCAATAACAAAAATCTCACCAAGATAAAGAAACATAATAGGCAAATCAAATATGATTCAATTTAAATATAGAATATATAAATTCAAACTTATTTTTAAAAGAAAAAGAATCCTTACCCTGCATGGCACTTTTATCCAGATAGTTGTTGAGATTAAATAATGTATTTCGAGATGCCAAGTATTGAATAAAGCGCTGTGAACAAATGAATCAGAATTCAGATTATCTTTATTATCTTTCTGCAGATTATCTTTCTATAGAAATATTTTATATTGCTAATTTCTAAGCAAGTGCATAGGTGACACATGAAATAAAGATAATCCTCAAGTTACGACCACAACTGAGCCCAAAATTTATGTTGTGAAGTGAGAATTTGTTAAGTGAGTTTTGCCCCATTTTACAACATTTCTTGCCACAGTTGTTAAGTGAATCACTGCAGTTGATAAGTTAATAACCTCTTTGTTAAGTGAATCTGGCTTTCCCATTGACTTTGCCAGTCAGAAGGTTGCAAAAAAAGTGATCACATAACCCCAGGACACTGCAACGGTCGTAACTATGAACCAGTTGCCAAGCATCTGAATTTTGATCACATGATCATGGGGATGCTGCAAAGATTGTGAAAAACAGACATAAATTACCATTTAAAGCAAAATTGAACTGCACATTGCTCATTCTGCATGCATCTCATATATCATGGTTATAAAGAAGACATACATACTATTCTGAGATTATTCTCATGACAACTAAGGAAGATTTACATCTATACATAATAGGAAAATAGAGCTAGAAGAAGGCAAAGACATTCTACTCTTAATGCTTTAATCACTGCAAGGTGATACAACTAACAAGTTATTATCTCATTGTCCTTTGGGATTCTTTTAATTGTAAGATATGGGGCTTTATTATAGCTTTAGTTTCCATTCTATTAGCTTCGTTCATGACTTCATGACTTCCTTCATAACACTATAAATCCTTACAGGAAAATCTACCATATTTATCTGGGCAGGATGGTCTCAATCCTGTAAAAACTAGTCTCCTGTAAAGCAAATAACACTCTGTTTTTCAAATCAAGGGGAGATATTTTTGCATGGTAAGAGTGGAAGAAGAAGAAACTAATAAAGCAACTTTATATGCCAGTATTTGCTTTCTAATAAGGAGCTACTTATGAGGTTCTTGATGTCTCTGCCATACTTGTCCTTCAGAAATTCACCAGGCACTTATTCTCAAACCCCTCCCATTTTGAAATGAAACTCCATACCGCAAAATGCTGCTTTCTTACCTCATTTCCATACATCATGAGGTGGTGCGTTGTAATTAGAGCTTTGAATACTACTACCCAGCTACTGTTTGCCGTCCTCTCAAAAAGCGTATCTGCTAACTGTGGAATATTCACATTCATCTCATTTGTGCATTGAATTAAATCTGAAATTCAAGAAACAAGATGTTTTAATAAATATTTATTTATCAAATTTGCTTGTCGCCAGTCTCACCACAAGGTGATTTTTCATATTGATATAAAACTCAAAAAGAGGATATGTGTTAGGGATATACACCCTAGCAGAATGTGCACGGTAGTCAGGCAGGCAGGCAGATATGTGAGATAAACGTTGTTGTAGCTTACACTCAGTAAAAGAGATACACTGTGCCAGTTAAATAGTTTTTATTCCAGTCAGAGTTATAGCATAGTCAAACAGTCCATATATCATATACTAGTTCAGTCCATCTGGGGATTAATCAGTTGCAAAGTCCAGTGTCGAAAAAGAGGTCAGTAAACTTACAAATATTCAGTCCAGTAATATATCTCTTTTGCAGTTAGAGATATGAAGAAAATCAAACCTCTTTTCTTCTCTCAGCAATAGCAGGGAAAACACGCAGTTATCACCATCAATCCATCATTGTCAGCAATCCAGTAAAAGCCAGCAAACAGTGAGCTCTCTTGCTCCCTCTTATGGTGATTTTACAACCGCACCCAAAATACATGTTTTACAGTTAAAGTGATACACACACTTAAACTCACTAACATAGTTTATATATATTATTTTACCCAAACTAAGTTAGGTAACCAATGTTATTCCTAACAATATGTTCAAAAGTATTCTGGAATTCTAAACTTCACTCTCATATTCCCAACTACAAGTAGTCCTCATTCAGCAGTTACAACAGTGTGGAAAAATAACTGTAAGATCATTCCTCGTAGTTATGACCTTTCCAGGTCTGTAAAGCAAAGGAAAGCTGAAGCAACATCAAAGGCAGTTGTAGTTTCACTTAGTGACTGCTTTGCTTAACAATCGAATTGCCTCTCCCGATTGTGATAGCTAAACAAGGACTACCTGTATTCTTTACCTTTCACACATTAAGTGGAGAAAGTTAATGTATGTGAAATTACATTAAACACTTTCTAAATGTTTCATTATGATTCCACATCTTTAGTATCAAGCAACTTTTCCAGCGTCATTTTGGTTATCTGATAAAAATGACACTTGCTGAATCAAGCAGATACTTCTATCCATCCTTTACAAACAGGAACTGATGTATACATCTAAAAGAAAAGCTTTACCAAATCAGAACCTGACAGGATTAGAAATAGAGTATATCGTTACTGACACGTAGACAAAAGTCTAAAATAATGTATCTGGCCAAAACTGGAGGGCGGGACAGAGACTGGAGTCTCTTCCAGTACTTCAAGACTCTTGGATTATTATTCACTAACATTCTGAATGTACTAAAAAAAATAAAGAAAAATATGATGAGAAGCAATTGGGCAGGTTTGAAAGACATGTGCAGAGAAATAGCACAGCCCCAAGCTTCACTGGTTATACAAGCAGTGAGAAAATACAAATAGTGCTGGATTGTCTACAATCATTTCACACGTAAACATCAGCTTGTTGCAGAAAAATCAGCCACTTTAAATTCAAACAAATTATAGCATTATATATTTTTTTTTAAAAAACTATTCCTTTATAAATATTTGTTAGTTTATAAAGATCTTACCTTGGAATAATGTAAAATTGGCCTAACAAACTGTTTTATAGCAAAAATAAGAATAATTACGTTACTTCTTAAATGAAAGACAAGGATGAGGAGAGAGAGCATATAGTATGATAAACCAGCTGAGAAACATGAACAGAAAATGAATTTAGAAGAAGATTGGCCGTAAGATTTACAGCTAAGATTTTTTCCTAGTAGCATATAGAGAACAAACAGACAGGCAATGTGACAGCAGAGCAAATGTTTAATAGTACTGGTGTTCCAAGTCCTGCAGTCAAGTTAAGATCCAGTTAGCATTTTTACTGGAACCTGAGCAGGCATGAATAACATTAGAAAATCTCCCATCTTTCCCTTGCTATCCTATATTCCCCATTTTCTTCAAATGATTCAGGTTGTAAAACAACATATTGTAACACTTTTCCTCATCTAGAATTTTTGTCACCATGAACAAGCACAATAGGCAAGCATTCAAATTTTGCATTCTTCTGAAACAATAAACATCACCCTGATTTCATTTCTCTTTCTTCCTTTTGTGTGGCCAAGCCTGCATCACCCAAGCTCAAATATTCCCAATTTGCTCAGGCCTCTAAAAGTAACCATTTTCCTAGAAATTTCCTACTTAATTTTCCAAACCACAACTTCCTTCTTCCATTTTCTTGATATAGCTGTTCCTGGGAAATCACAAAGGAATAGCCTGCCAACTCAGTAACTGGGTAATATAATAATTAAATACTTCATTTCTGCAAATGGTCCTGCCCAAAATGTAGATGCAAATGAACTTAATCTTTGACCATGTTCTGCAGATAGTTTATCAACATGACCCAGCATAGCATGTACAGTAATTCTTCACCATCTAAGGGCAAGTCTGCATCATGGAGATGAGTGATAATATTCCTGTTCTTCAGAGAAAGCACAGGCCCACTGATGCCCTCCAAATGTTCTTCAATCAAGCTATGAGAGTCCATGATAGCCACAGAGGGCAAAGCTCATTAAAGAATTTCTGTAGACTATCAAAGTATCAGCCACTCCTTCCCTTAACTCCTAATCTTCAGGGATCAATATACAAATACAAGCCCTTCCATCTCTTTCCAACTCACAGTCTACTTTGAATTTAGCCTATCCTTCGGAAGTGTTACGTTCAATTCATTCACATACATATATCCGGAACAAGAAACTATATCCGTGTAGCTGATCACTCATCTCCATGATGCAGTTGATGTAGTTGATACTGGATGAAATGCTCAAAGCAAACATGGAAAAAAATTCTGCACCAGAAAAACAGTAGTTAATTCAGAACCTTATATATTTTAATAAATACATTAAAATATATTATTTCACTGCATTATAATATATTTTAAATATACGTTACTGATCTGCACAAAATCCCAACAAATTGGAGTTTGAGCCTTTTGTTCGGCACTTCAAGACCACAAATGAAAAAAGATAACCACTGTTTGATAGCTATGATTTTGTTCAAACTCTAAATTATAGTGCCAAACTGTAAAGTAATAGCTGAAATGTTTCCCTCTATTCATGAAGGACCATCAATTAGATGCTGATTATATGAATACTGTGGTTATTCAAAGTGGCCCATTGGATTTCCCATTATATCACTGTTATCTATATATACTGCATTCCTTCATTTTCCCTAGATGTGCAAACTGGACTTTAGAGGGGAAAATACAGTATCCCTACTGCAATAACAAGCAGTGTAATTCACTCCATTCATTTCAGATACCATAGTATTTGTTTGCATTACAATGATAATTTTGTACTGCTTTGTGAATTATAATAAGCTGCATTAAAACAGCATTTTTATGAATTGCTGCCTCTTACGTCTCAATCCAAAAATCCAAAAAGTCCTGATAAATTTTTCTAGAACACAGATTTCTGCAACCAGTAAGGAATCTCTTTTCTTTCCAAGATTTTGATTCACTGGGTGTTTTCTGTCTTTTTCGCAAAGATTGTCCATTACTATACATTTTATATCTGTTGCCTCGATGGACTTTTAGTAACAATCATCTACATGCTAGACTGAAGCTAAACCTAGGGGGGGAAATCAATGAAGCAATTAAGTGAGAATGGAGGCTTATATTAATGGTTAATAGGCACAGAACCATGAAATGATGGTGAAAAATATGAAGTATGAACCCTAATTCATCAATTTTGATGTGTTTTCAAGAAGGAACAAGATTCAGCACTCTGAAAATGCAAAACTGGGCAATCTAAGTCAGCCATGCCCTCTACGTCACAAAGGAGTAGTGACTCTAAATCCACATTAGAGGTACTCTTGTTTTCAAAAGGAATCTAGTGGTTTCCCTGTCCCAGCATGCCTACCTAAAGATATGATCCAATTCTGATTTCCTCTATTATCAAATGCAAGCTATAAATCTGCAGACTACTGATAATCCCAAGGTATAACTAATGTTTAGGGACTATCACTATTGCTTGCAAAACCCAATACATGTAGAAGCAAGACATCACAATAAGTGGCAAGTCTACCACACTCACTGCCTACGAAGAGTGATAACTATATCCCCAGATACAGTATTGCTGGTGTTGTTGTTCAGCAGCTGGCTCATAATATTAAGCTATCCTCTAGTCTTGATCCACTTAGAATATGCTGGTTGGCACTGCCTGCACTAGAGTGAAGCAGGTTGATTTGATATTGAATCAATTCAAGCTTTTATTCTCAAGCGTAAAGCAATCTACAGAATGAGAACTATCAATTACTATTTTTAAAAATGGTTTAAAAATTTGTGTTGTGCAGCTAAAGCCACTATTGACAAATGAAGATAAACAGCCAGCAAGAATGTTGTTATAATAAATCAACATAATTGCCCAATATTCACAATCACAATAGGAAAACTACAAAACCTTCTGTACTGAAAATCGATTATTGACGAGTGAACAACTTCACATCTAGCAGATAAGAAACTGAAAAATGCCTATCTAGAACATGACAGCTAGCTATTCCTGCATCACATGATTTCTGAACAGTTTTTATCAAGCAATAAATCTGAGTTAACATTTTATTTATTTATTTATTTAAAAAAGCAGAATCCCACCTCTGCTGCAGTATTATTTGCAACCTTCAACTGGACAAGTTCACTGGGTCACTATGGGCCAGTCACTGGCTATGTCTGCACTGCTGCTTGAATCACTGACTGGTCAGCCAGGTTTTTAGCCTAGTATATTGTGTGAATCCAGGCTGGTACTTAATTTCTGGCTCAGTGTGCGCAAAAATCCAGAAAGGTTAATTAGTAAACCATAGCTCAGATCAAACATAGCCACTATCTCTTAGTCAAATCTATCTCACAAGGTTGGGTTGAAGGAAAAAATTAGAATATTTATGTAGGTCACTCTGCACATCTGCAGAAAAGGCAAGTTTGATAATTATGTGTCCATCTTTACACACACATCTCATATATTAT